TCTAGGGTCCCGGGGGTGGGGTGGGGGAAGGAAAAACTAAACTCCATATAATAAGTGTCCTGGAACCAACAGAAATACAGTGGACCCTTGACTTACAGACGGCTTGACTTACAGACTTTTTGAGTTACAGACTTCTCTGGCCGCAAAATTTAGGTTTGACTTGCAGACTGAGATTTGACTTACAGAGCAGAAAAAAACCAAAATGGAACAAAAACGGCCTGTTATGGGATTAATCGGTTTTCAATGCACTGTAGGTCAATGGAGACTTGACTTACAGACTTTTTGACTTGACAACCGCCTTCCAATACGGATTAAGTTCTCAAGTCAAGACCCCACTGTACAGCAAAACTGTGCATGCTCTAAGTTCTCTGGGTTTCTCCATCAGGCTCTGTGATACAAAAGTAGGGAATAGAGAAGAAACAAGAAAGTTCTAAAAGGTAGCCCAGATATTGTGGCTTGATGGACTTCAGTTGATTAATTAATTATAGACAAGTTTGTGACTTAGTTCAGCTATCCTTTCTTGTTGTAGGAGCAACAGTGAGAATGTACCACCTTGTGGCCTTGTTCCCGATAGGTCAGAACTGAGACTTCTGGCATATCATTAGTGCAAAAGTGCTCTCAGTGTATAAACTGAAAAAGGAAGAAAGGTTGGAATTAAGACTTCATGAGCTCTGTTTATATAACCCATTACTGAGGTGAAAAAATATGCATGTCTTGACAAATGCTGCTTCTCCGTATATGTAAGAAGCTTAAAATTTATACCATTCGGGGGAGCCCTCTTCACAAGAGTGTATTTATCAGCATTTACTGATATTGCATGGTAGCCTTTATCTCCGAAAGGGCTGCAGGGAGTCATCCTATGGCTAGCAACCAATTCGTCATTTTTTTTATGCAGCATGACCAAATAAAGCACTGAATACACTTTCTGAGTATTTGTGCGAATGAGTTAAGTTTTTCTTCTATCTGTATATCCTTTGCTTTGCTTTAGTTCTCTGGCCTGTTGAAAAAGAGAGCTAGCAATAATATTTTTCCTCCTCCTGTTTTTCTCCTACCATGTGCTTTGAAATGGTGTATGCCTTTGTTGTTGTTGTAAGTAACCTTTATTGGCATAGGAAAGTTAAAAGCATGCAAATAGAAAAATTTATAAAATAATAATAAATCACGACAGGAGATACTTAGGGCAATCTGGTTAATTTTTAGAAACCTGGGAGGAAAGAACCTTTGCAAGGAACTCGGCTACTAAGGTCGTTGTTTCTTGTGAATAGTCATGGAGGAGGAAACCTGTGAGAAGCTGGGGAGGGCCGGAAAAGCCTGAGATAATTGGGCCTATGGTACAAGCTCAAAGATTTTTAAACTCAGGACAGTAACAGAGAATGTGTGTAACTGAGTCAGGCTCTAAACCACAGAAGTTGCAAATTCTTTGCTCAAAGGGTACCCGAGCATATCGTCCCTTAAGAACCTCAGAAGGGAAAATGTTCAGCCGGGCTAACATCATCAAGGACTGGAAATAAGATTGTCCAGAACCAAAGGAGGGAAAAAAATTGAAATGGATTGGGGAACATGTCTGATTCACATTGATAACTAACTGGAGATACTCAGACTCCCATAGTCTCTCCTTGATAAGGGAAAGTGCCTGTTTAAAGTTACTGTTAAAAAGGGAGTTTAAAGGTATGCCAATGGACACGAATTTGGTTTCACATTGCGTAAAACCATATGGATTGATAAGGGTCTTTAAGTAGGTGAACAAGGAGAGAATCTGGGTCTATTTTTAAACCAGAAGTGAGTGCCCACGCCATCGTTGAGGGGAGGTGCAGGCCTAGCTCTAGGACTATAGTAGATAATTTAATTAGGTTGGGAATCCCTAGAATCCATCTATAAAAGGAAGCAGCCACTAGATCAACTTTATTGTTCATGGCATTGATCCAGATTGGAACACCATAGAGCAGGCGATTAACCAGTTTAGCCTGGAAAATATGAATGGTGGCTGGAACGAACTGATTCCCAGCATTATGATGGAATTTAGTTATAGCTCCGAGAAGGTGTGAGACAGAAGCTATCGCAGAGTCTCTATGTGTAGTCCACTTGAGTTGGAAATGAAGTGATATACCTAGGTATTTAAAGGATCTGACCTGTTCAACGAGCCGGTTATTAATTTTCCACTGAAAAGGCTTCCAAGATTTTGAGAAGACCATAATTTTAGTTTTCTCCACATTGATAACAAGATCTTTGCGTGAACAATATGACTGAAAGAAGAGGAGTTGTACGCCTTTGAATGTGTTTGCCTTTGAATGGCACTTGGCAAGCATCTTGACTACTAACTAGATTTGTAAGCTTGTGTCTTTCTGTACAGATGTACTTGTGTCTAAGTAGCTGCTCCTTTTTCTAGTGGTGAGTTCTTATGACTTTGTTTAAAATAAATCTGTTGGCTGAGAGAAATACCAAACAGGAAAACATATATTGGCTTGTATCCAGTCTCATATAAAGTTCTTTGAACTGCCCTCAAGATGAATGGATTTTCTGTCTTCATTATTACATTCATCTGTAGGGTGGAGTCCAGGAAAATGCATGCTTGCTTTTTATGTGTAGTCCTATTTGCCCCGAGGGCTGGGTGCACTTTAGATATGTGGGATCTGTTTTGTTGTTTTACTAAAACTCCAACATCCACCAAAGGTGCGCACTGAGAATTAAAGAATTTTGAAGTATCAAAAACGCATTGTCCTTCCACACAAAAAACCATTCTCAATTACTGCAACCTTTCTTCATTTCAACAGTATGGTTTAGAATTTAGGATAGCAAATTCTGCCATTGCTGTTTTTGTTGAAAGATTAGGAATGAGAAATCCTTGCCAGTTGAGATCCAGATGTACATTCTTCCCACCTTTGATTTAGCCTTGGTTCTTCAATGCTAAATTACATCTTGTTTGCATGATGGATTTTCATCATTTTACCAACCTCGGAAGGATAGAAGGCTGAGTCAACCTCGAGCCGGCTGTCAGATCCCTTGGTATTGAATGCTGACCATGAGCAGAGTTTGGGCTGCAGTACTACAGTTTGAACCACTGTGCCACAATCCCAGCAACAGGATCTCTGTCTTGTCAGCACTGCATTGTAGCATTTCTTTTTCAGTATTCTTTTTGCATCTTGCTTCTTTAGAGGTTGTGATGCAAAACAGCAAATAATGCTGTAGCCTGCCTTAATTTACAATCTCATAATTTCTTGACTTACCATTAGGTATTTCAGATAGGTCCTCTTGTCTCTATTGTAGTAGGAGGCCAAATGTATTTTAGAAAGTGAGGAAAGAAGGTTGATTCTTAAAAGTTTTCCTTGGCTATCAGTGATGAGCAGACTAAAATAAAGGCAGTTTCTGTTACTGTTCTGCAGAGGAGTAGAAAATATTTCAAGTTAAGCTTTTTAGTTGGTTTGCCCTTAGTGGTAGGTACCCACAGAACTGCAATGATTTTATTACTGAATCTCAAATGCAGCTGACTTGTAGTAATGCCATAAGAGTATGCATTTTTTAGAATTAAGACTTACATAACACTGTACAGTAGGACCTCGACTTACGAACATCCCTACATATGAACTTTTTGATTTACGAACTTCTCGTTCGCAAAAAACTGGCATCGACTTGTGAACAGAGCCTCGACCTACGAATGAAACGGAGTGATCGGCGTCTTCGGAGGTCTCAAAGGGCTTTCTCCCCGACATTGGAGGAAGCCGTTTGAGACCTCCGAAGGCAAAAAGGCAGGGAGAAAGGG